CTCTCTTATCTCTACGACTAACTCTACGTCACATTCCTTCAGCTCACTGCACGCTAATGCAAACGAGTGCGAGTTCACGAAACATCGTTCCTGGTTTCCTAAAACCCCCGTTCTAGACTATATGTTGGTTCATTTGATCTACGGACATTGTGTCAAATAGGGCAAAAGCCATCATTAGCTATGCCTTCTGAATCTCGTGCCATCGATGTCTGCTGCGTCTCGGAAACGCGCCCACATGATCCTAGTAAACTTATTCATCTGATTTCACCTTGTCAAAACAAAGAAGCAGCTCGATTCTACTCTTCTATCCGGTAACCCCTGATCCTGCTTCCAGGGGTCTTGCTGGCTAGGCATAGCATTGAGTCGTGAGCTGAACAATCTCTCCTTTGCTGAATCCCAGTAGATGTCGCTTGTGCTCTGCCCGACTACACGGGACAGTAAAGGACTCGGAAAGATAGGGACACTCGCCGGTTGCCTCTTCATCGTAATATGCCTTATGCCCCACTGACTGCAGTTCAGAACGAGAGGTGATGATATCTACAGAAAGCTTTCGGGGACCTCCTCCAAAAAGGGCTAGGCGATCTCTGATATAGTAGATAATGGCTGGTGACGTAATGCTCGAGTAGGTAGAACCTAAGTGAGGCAGGAGGATGACACCTAGGGGGATGTTATGGTGTCCGCGGTATTCAGACGAACAGACCAATGGCGGACCGTCTGTTGCAACTATGCTTCAACAACCGCCTATTCTTGGCAAACACTAACTTAAGAGCCATAAGGGAAAAGCATCTGTTTAGCAGCCGGCGTCAACTAGATCACATCGCCATCAGCCACCGATGGAGGGGTTCGATAGAGGACTATCGCTCGTTCTGGGACACATGTCTAGATTCAGATCATGCTCTAGTGCGAGCGCGTATTTGTGTGCGCCTTACTGGATGCCAGAAAAATATCCGAAGAAAACCTCTTAGGGCTTTACTTAATGATAATCGAACTAAGAAAATATTTCAAGAGGAACTAGAAAAGCGGTTAGGGAACCATGTAAGCGATTCCTATCCAGAGGCAGGTTGGAATGATATCAAAAAGGCTGTGGAAACAGCAGTGATTTCTGCTAGTAAGATAAACCATAAGGCTGGGATTTTAGTCGCATCCATCGAACTGAAGGATGCTCGAAACATGAAGAGTGAAGTCAGCTTACTCGCAGACTGATCAAAAGCCTACGTAACGAACGCGAACAGTGGTGGGTGGCGAAAGCAAAAGCGATGAAAAAGGCAACAGAAGGCAACTATTCAGATTCATCAAGAAAACTGGTATTAGGAACCCGAATTTGAGTAAGACTATCTCGGAAAAGGATGGTCGTATTATCCATTCTCAATCCAGGAGATTGGACCGACGGGCAGAACACTTTAGGGATCAGTCCAACTGGCCTCGAGCCACTCTTCGGTTACCCACGATCTCCAGTCATCCTGAATGGTAAATCGACGTAAGGACACCTTGGCTTTACTAAGCTGAGAAAGCGTTAGGAAATCTGAAGCGAGGGCGAGCTGCAGGTCCTGATAGACTGACCCCTGAGATATTTAAGGATGGTTGTCCAGTTTTAGTAGTTAGGTTTACTGAGATCTTAGGTAGAATCTGGAAACTAGACATAATCCCGTCCGAGTGGTCTCAATCACTGATTGTCCCAACTTATACTGCTTTTTGTGTGTATTTCAACTATTTATAAATGTCATTTTTTTTCTTGACGTTTGATTAATTTCTGTTGTTTCTATTGTGTTTGTTTTCTCATCTCAATAACAGTCGTCTAAAAGTAAAGATGATTTTATCTATCCAAGAAACAACAGTTTGTCTAACCTTCGTGATCATGATACTGTTGCTAATCATCGTGAAATGTGGAACACATCCAAATCTCATGATGAATTAAACGATGATTCAATTTCATATCATTATTATCATCCTACCTATTGTCAAACTGATATTGATGCCGATGATGATTCGTTGAATCCTGTGAACAATACCACTACTAATAATACTATTAATACTACAATGTCTACGAATAAATCCTATCATATTCATGCATCATGTTTAATATTGCCAATTCCAGGTCTTGTATGGTGTTCTGAACAATTACCAACCAATTTCCCTAATTGGTTACCTCTTGGTCATAATTATTCAACGATGAATCATAATGGTAGTGGTAGTAGTAGTAACAATACTCAAACATTAATTTCACGCACAGTCAATCATCATAATCATAATAATAATAATCTGAACAATGGAATTTATCCCGATTGGATGGATCCACATGTGTCGGGTTTATCACAACAACAACAACAACATGTTTACTCAGATTTTCATGATTATTGTTATAAGCTGACTACACCAGATGATCGAAATCATCATTCGAATACAGGGACTAATGAAGATAGTCGATCGAAATTCCGTTGTTTTCGTTTTGCACATATACCAGCTGGTGTAGAATTGTTGTTTGTATTTCCAGATGAGAATGCAGCAATGGCTTGTTTAAAAATGTGTCAGGTAATATATATATATATATATATATATATATATATTAATGTTACTGTTCATTTGTATTGATTGTTGGAATGTGAAACATGGCTAGTGAGAGTAGAGGACATTCATAGGTTGCTTGTCTTCAATCATAGATGTCTTCGAAGCATTGCTTGTGTATCGTGGAACGACTGACTAACCCATGCTATAGTTAGGAAAACGAGTACTATGTAAGGATGGTAGATCAATTGATGCCGTAGTGAAACTACATCAGTTTAGGTGGAGATATGTGTTACATGTGCCCGACAACTGACTGCTTAGACGAGCTATGTTTTGTAGTGTAGGAGTAGGTTGGAAGAAAGCTAGGGGTGGCCAAACCAAAACATGGCAGGAAATCCATGAAGCCTACTGACAAGTGGTACTGAGTCATGTTGGTAGATGTAGACTACTTGATTGGGAAGCCGTGAGACAGTGTTAATGGATGGTTAGTGACCTTGGACGATGTGGTCCAATACTTGTTTGCAATCGCGCAGATGCATTCATTCTTATTGTTCTCTCAAATTCTAATGTCTTCTGAATTCCTCACGACAGTTCATCTTTTATTCCACCGGATTATACTTCTAGTATCATATCTTCGATCCCTAATCTTTTGATTTTCACAAATACTACTACTACCTTTACTACTGTGGGATTTTAATCGACATCTCTTTGCATCTCTTTGTGTTTATGTGAACATGGCAAGCTTGAACTGATGTATGTACGTACAAATTTCAACATTGTTGCTGACTTATTGGTCGATATCCTTCAGATAATGAATTCATTCTATTGACCAATCATTTACATTCGTCCTTTCGGACATTTCTGATGGATTACAAAATGGCTTTTTCACCTGGCCACTTTTGATAATCTTGTTACATCAAGGATACTTATCATGTATATCTACCGATAATTTTTTAGCTATCAGTAATCACAAATGACTGACTCAGTAGTCAGTTACAAGGTCAAACTTCATACGTAAGTACATAAGTTCAGGCTGCCATACTGTATAAGCACAGAGACACGACTGTCACTTCAAATCCTATAGTGATGTGGATAGTAGAACAATAAACGGTAAAGGAGTATAATAGGGATCGAAAATATTATTCAAGAAGTTCAGTTCAGTGAGATAAGTTTAGAAAGCGAAAGATAGAGATGATAAGGAATTCTGAAGACTAGAATTCGAGAGAACACAAAGATTAAATGCACCTGCGCCATTGCAAACGATTTTGAACCATATCATTCAAGATCTCTAACCATGTTTTATTATCATCTCTCGGACCCCAACCAGTTAGTTGACACCTACCAACATGGCTCAGTCCATTTGTCCGTGACTTTATGGATTTGTGACATGTTTTTGTTTGCCACTCCTACCTATCTTCCAGTTTGCCTCCACATTTCAAAATAGCGCTCATCGAGGCAGCATATGAAGTGTCAATACTTCATCAATTGATCTACCATCCTTACCTAGCACCCGTTTCCTAACGACACCATTGCTTACTCGGTTTTCCCAGGTTATGTACGAGCAATGCTTCGAAGACATCTATAATTGAATACTAATAACCTACGAATTTTTTTCAAACTATAAACGAATAACTAATTCTTTGATACATTCTGTGAAGGCTTTCATAATACTGATTAATTTATTGATTATTTACAGTTATCGTTTATCTGAGTATATATCAAAGCGTCCAAAAAAAACACGTCAAAATGAGTTTTGTATTTTATTTAATTTATTTAACTGTTTAATTACACTACAACAAGTGAAATAATGTACGTGTCTATGTGTACTTTTGTGTGTATGTGTGTGTATTATCTTTTCTTTTCTCAATCACTCACTCTCTCTCATTCTCTGTCTATTCAGCTTTTCGGTGGACGTGATTATGATGCTAATGAACACCACATTGGACGATGTAATCATTCAAATGCATGTAAGTTGATCTGTGTGTGTTGACGTTTTCGCTTTTCGTTTCTTTTTCTTCGCTGTTTGATTTTACCGGGAATTAATTGATACTGCTAGATTCACTGTCAAAGACATTAACATAGAGCAGTCTGGGCTCAGCGACTGACCTCACTTAAAACCGAGATATTGTTACTCATGCACGTAAACATGTCATCTTGATATGCTTGAATTATTACGAGTTTACCTTAGTCGGAAAACAAAAGCGAGGATCGAGGATCCGGCAACACCACATGCTACTCTAATCCGAATGTCCCAACACCCATTGAATAAAAGAAGAAAGTTTTATATGAAGTAGAACCTGTATACTACAACCATTCAGAAAGTACGAGGTCCAAGTGCAGAAGACAATCAGGATCCCGGACCAAGCGTCCGGGTCCGGGTCCGGGTCATAAGACGTTACAGATAATGCATATTTATACAGTTAGATCGAGTAGGAAACAACATTGAAGTCTGTCACATTGAGATCTAGGACGACCATAAAATTGACTGATGGGAATTAAACTATAGGAACTGACCAATAATTCTCTTGGGATATTAGATGAATATCCTAACAGATATATCTATCCATTTCATTGGTCTTACATTTCAACATTACACACGCAATATCGAGTCAGTTAGTCAGTTAGTTACATCATAAAACTTCGTATGTACGTACATCAATTCAAGTTACCATACCACATTAACACAGACTTATGTGATTGTCAATTCAAATCCCATAATAGTAGAGGTATTAGAAGTATTAGCAGTAATCAGAGAGATTAGGGTTCGACGATATTATTCAAGAAGTAGAATCTAGTGAAATAAACTTAGAAACAAAAAGATAGGGGTGATGAGGAATTCAGAAGGTTAAGATTTGAGAGAACACAGAGAATGAATGCACCTGCGCCATTGCAAACGATTTTGACCCTGGCCAGATAGTCTACACTTACCAAACATGGCACAGTTCACTTATGTGTGACTTCATAGATTTGTGACATGTTTCAATTTGGCCTATTCTAGCTATCTTCCAACCTACTCCTACAGTACACTATCAAGTCAATTAGAATAGTGATCTTATTGCCAGTTGATTGACAGAAATTGATTCGCATAAAGAAGGATTAGCCAGACATGTTAGTAGTAACTCACTACTCAATGATTGGTCAATTATAGTAGTTTGTAATGTCAACTTATCATGACAAAATGAAATTATAACAATAATTATAATGGTAGAAATATTATAACTAATTGAAGAATAGAAGAATGAATAAAACTGTATCTATAACAAAATAGTAAAACTACACATCTAGAATGAATTCACTTGTATTGTTAAATTTGATTATTGTGTGTATCAGTCAGCAACTTGATGAACTTATGCATGCTTTTAAGCTAAACGCCTCTAATTATTAGCTTCTAGCTTACTTATATATCTCATCCAATGACATTTCTCAACATAATTGACTAATGCATTATTTTTATCAAGTACCAATTTGGTCTTGTGTGCTGTTACGGGTATGAGGTAGGATGTCACTTCTCGGCTGTCCACACAGTGAAAGGATTTTTCTTGAAGAACCTTAAAAGGGAGGTAGATTAGCGTTGGTTTTAACGATCTGGGAGTGTGACCGCAGAACCCAAGGGACAACTGCTTGAGGCCGGTCACGCACGTCCTTTTTATGATAATTTTTAAAAGTGTTACCTCCTCTCTTGTTTAAAAGGCCTTACCGCCAAAGACAGAAATCCGTGAAGTGAGGTGAAATGTGACATTTTTAGGGTCGACCTTTTCTAACCCTTACCTTCCTTACAGACGCTGGTTTTGCGAGGGAAACACCTTACTGCTATCACACCCCTCCAAAGTCATCAGTATAACTCCGCCCTTAGAACTTAAGTTGCTACTTTTACTCTTACCATTCGCCACTTGGCCTTCCTGGCATGGTAGAACCTACAGGAACATATTTCCAGCCATTAAAGCTCGATTGGGTCATCATCATGGGCAAGCTCAACCACAACGTCAAAGTATCACTTACGGTCGGTGGTAGTACTTACGGTCATTTATGTGCACTTGAATCTATATTTTTTCATATTTCATTTAAATCATAAAGTCAAAATCCAATTTTTTTTACTACTATTGTAATTTCAAATCGATCTCCAATGTTTAATAATGAAATGTAATAAAATTAATATTCATAATAACTAATCAATACCAAAGTGTAAAATCTGTTATTTACTTGCATTCTAGCTCATATTTATCAAACTATCTGTTTTTGTTATGACTCCTCATAATCAGTAGTGCACATTCACAGCTACATAAACTGATTTCAAGCCCAGGAACTTTGATTTTCCTGGACTTATTTTCGTTTTGTTACCCATTATCTAACTATGATCAGTTTATTGTGTATTAAACTACAAGAATTTATGATTTTCATTATAGAGTTATGCAGATTGTTGAGTTTCATTGAAATATTGAATCGATCATTGTTAGACTACCATTAAAAGCTTCGAAGCACACCGGTCAGTCGTTTTGTCTTAGTATGTAACTCGTTCGCGAAGGGCACCTACGACCACTGCTCGGGACTAGAACCTAGGACCTTCGGTCCCGCACGTGACTGCTTAATCTCTTGCCAACTGAGTCGCGACCAGTGGAGCTGAGTCCTGTTAGTATAGGTAATACAGTGGGTGAGGTTGCTCAATACTTTGGATTGCTAAAGCTTAGTTGCTAACACCGTTCGATGCTGGCTCAATGGCATAGACGTTAAGCGTTCGCGCGCCAGACCAAATGCCCTGAGCGTGATTTCCGTGAGTGATGATCGTGGGCGCGCATCATTGATGAGTCCGATAGTGTGACGAAACGACTATCTATACCTCACAGGTTTCTATTGATCACTGAACCTTGATCATTGTATGTTTCTTCGGTTTTTCTTTCTAGCTACATTGACAAAGAATCGAAGAAAATCATCATCATCATCATCTAATCCGTATGAATTATTTTTCTTAAAATTATCATCACAATCGTATGAAAATTCAGTGAAATCAATCAAAAAATGTTCGCATCATTTCGCTCTGAACGATAATTACAATCATAAATCTCGTCCACCTTTAACAATTAGCACTAATAGCAACAACGAAAATGACAACAGCAATGATGACGGAGATGATGATATTGTACGCAATGACTACACCGGTGATAATCATAACAACATTGATAATTTTGATTATTCAATGCATAGAAATGTATTTATTCAACCGCCTAATTTACATTATACAAATGCTGATAGTCCTTGTATTACTACTACTTATGGACCATATTGTTTAATGAAAGATAGACGTCGATTACATCGTCGTTATGTTGTTCATCGACCTATGATAGATTCTGATTATACACATAGTAATTTAATTGCTGACGATGTCAATACAATAAAGAATCCAGGCAAAAATAATAACAATAATGTCAATAAATCTGAAGTTGTCAACAAGTTTTGGTTACGAGTTCGAGAGAAAATCGATTTAGGTTGGTAGTTTTTCTTTCCCGGTCGTTTCATTTTTTGAGAGGTTGTTGTTGTTGTTGTTATTTCTTTTTGTGTTCTTGTGAAAACAAAAGAAACTAGATGATCAGTTGATCGATTTGTAAGACAGACAGAGACAAACAGATACAACGCAGAACTTCGTACGTAAGTACATCAGTTCAGTTTGCCATGCCCCATCAGCACAGAGACGCAACTGTCAGTTCAAATCCAAGAATGATAATGATAGTAGAAGTACTAGCAGCAATGGAGAAGATTAGGCAGCGAAGATATGATTCGAAAAGTATAATTCAGTAAGATAAATTTAGAAGGAGAAAGGTAGAGATTATGAGGAATTCAGAAGGTTAGAATTTGAGAGAACACAAAGAGCGGATGCACCTGCGCCATTGCAAACGATTCTGAGCCATCTCATTCAAGGTCTCTAACAATCGATTATTATCGTCTCGCGGACCCCAATCGGGTAGCCTATATCTACCAACATGACTCAGTCCACTTGTCAGTGACTTCATGGATTTGTGCCGTGTTTTGGTTTGGCCGCCCCTAGCTTTGTTCCAATCTACTGGATCAATTTGTAAGAACTGCTAATGTCCAAAGTCAGTCAGCTACAATTTAGAACTTCGTACATACGTACGTACGTACGTACATCAGTTACAGTTGCTCCACTACATTAGGACACAGAGATCGAATTGTCAAATCCCATAATAGTAGAGATCGTAGAATTATTAGCGGTAAAGTAGATGATAAGGGATCGAAGATATAATTCGAAAAGTATAATCCTGTTCTGAAAACGGTTATGAGAACTTCAGAAGATTAGAATTTAAAAGAAGACAAACAATGAATGCATCTGCGCCATTGCAAATGAATTTAAGCTATGCTATGTCATTCAGTGCATCTAACCATCAATTACTATTGTCTCAATTTCCACAGTAATCGATACCAGCTGATTCTGTTGATTTCTTAGTCTGATCACATTCAGTCGATATTAATATCGATTATAAGTGAGCTCTATATGAAATTTGTTTTCGTTTTTTTGTTGTTGAGAGCTATAGATTTATTTCAAACAAATTGATTTATCAAATATCCCGTTTATTAACTTCAAAAAAACTGTGTAGGATGTGTTGACTATGCGTGTAGGATGTGTCTGTGTGTGTGTGTTGTATTGTTATAGATTATTGTTGATTGAGTGATTGGATTGGTTTGGCAATTCAAACATTGGGATGAGTGGATGATTTACTTGGTAATCGATCTTTTGCGTGAATTTTTCTGTTCAGTTTATACATATTTCAAATCAACAGTCGGTATACTGTACTAAACATTGACCCTCGTAAAGCATAGTTCACCGACGAGGTTTCCCCAACCAACTCTGTCCTGGGCTCTCTCTTTTTCTCAGTTGTTCTCAAATGATATTCATTCTTTTGATATTTACCTCTAATTCCTGGCACACTACGTTCTTCAGTCTGCCTATTTTCTTTTCATCTTGAAGATCACTTGTTTTTGTGTGTGAAGTTCTTTCTTCTTCTTGGTCAGAGTACAACCGCCTCTCTCTTGAAGGTAATATTTTCCGTTCAGCTTGCATTCAACTAGCTTTACTTTTTTCATGCTCCGTCAAGGGTGTATCTTATTATTTCCACAGCAACTGGATTGGTTCTCCTGGTGTCTTACATTACACGAATATTTCATGTACCTATATTCACTGTTACTTTGGTTATCAGAAGCAGGCATTGGTCTCTTGCGTTCCGACGAAATTCCGCTTTCATCATGAAGCGTCATAACTCTTTTAAATAAAGACCCTGTCACTCCCGTGGCAGAGTTTAAATCTCTTCAGTGGAATTTTCTCATAGCCTCTCATTTTTTCCAGCAAGTTTGCCCAACTCTACCTCGACTATCCGGTCTTAAGGCCGACAGTAACCGTAGAAAAGCTCTGATTAGAGTTACAAATTAAACATAGATTGAAGTTTGTAATCAATCTTGTGAATAATTACAGCATATTTCAATTTTTCTTACTTCTACACAACCAGTTCAAATCAAGATAAGTTTGCTTGTAGAATAAGCAAATAGGTAAATATTAATATATCTGTCCAATGTTTCAAAGTACTAAATAACATAAGACTGTTACAAAAATAAGATGCTCACGTATCATTCTCACTTCTGTAAGCTAGTTAAGGCAATGGAGATAGGTCAGTCCTACCTACTTTGGCAAACAGCGACAAACCATCATTTTCTTTAGGTATTTGTATGAAAAGCAAATGCACTATGTCCACAATGGAAAAACATCTAGAACTCAAAACAACTATCAAACAACACCAAAGTTGGAATTTTCAATACAAATGTCAAGACTATTCTACTGTATGGGGTGGAAACTTGAAGAACTATTCAAACCATCCGGATGATATATACATATACTGACAGTTGTCTACCCAAAATACTTCTTTTTCGTTGGCCAGACACCATCAGCAACTACCTACTGAGTGGGCAGAACAAACCAAATTCCTGTAGTGGGGGAAGAAATAAGAAAGAAGCTGTGAAAGTGAAATGGACACATTGCGGAAAGCATCCAATGGCGTCACAACACAAGCCCTCACTTGGAATACTCAAAGCCAATGGATAAGAGGAAGGCTAAGAAACACAGTACGCTGAGAAATGGAGACGGACATGAGAAGAAGGAACAACAATTGGACAGAACTAGAAACGAACGCTTAGGACATAGTAGGTTGGAGAATGCTCGTCGGTGGCCTATACTTCATTACGGGGTAACAGGCGTAAGTACCTGTGCTGGTTTATTTATTTCTTTACTCTTCTTAAAATATCAGTTTTGTAAAGAAAATTATTCTCTGCTTTTATTTATTCTTTGCGTATAGATGGAATTCAGTCGGACAATAGTGAATCAATGACAACTGATATTTCCAGTAGTAGTAATAGTCGAATAACCACTGATGTTATTTCTAGTAATAATAACAGCAATAACAACAATATTGACGATAAATCACAGTCAATCAATATAATTCGTACAAATAAATTACTACGTGGATTTAAACAATGGCTTCAACGTCCTGTTGGTGGTGTAAATACCAATAATAATAGTAACAATAATACTAGTAGTAGTAATAGTATCAGTAATAATAATAATAATACTAATCCTAATTGTTCCATTGTTGGTTCAATGAATTTCTCAACTGCAAATCATCTGATCAATACAGTGAATAATGTCGCACCACTGACTACGGGTTATTTCGGTGGTGGTGGTGGCGGCGGCGGCGCAGGTCCCACTAACAGTAATACAAATCAACATCATCATCATCATGTGAACATTAATAACAATTGGGAATTATCTTCTACAGTGGATGTTTCCCATGCAGAATCTCCAAATAATGAACAGAAATTTTGTTCAATAACGATAGGTATGCTGCTTACTTTGTGTATGTTTGTGTGTATACTGATGTTATTCATAGATCTTTATGAAAATGGTCATTTTTTTCGTAATTCGATTACAATTAATCACTAGCAGAAACTATGAAGCATTGCACAGTTATTTCATCCTGACATGGGATTCCTCAGTGTCATTACTTATTTACGACCACATACGTAGGCAAGCACTAATCGCACTCAACAGGTATGACATGCAAATGCTTAGCCTTTAGGTGTAAATAATCTAATTTCAATTTTTTTGGTAATATTACGCCGATTATCTTTTATCTGCTGCGATCGAATAACTTTCTCTTATTACGCTCTAGAACAACTGGAATCTCACCCTAGAATTATTTTCAGTATACAGAGTATTTTTTTTTTAAAATAATGCTGATTTCACAGTGATCGATTTGTAATTTCCATGAAAAACCTAACAATCTCCATAACTCTATTATGCAAATCATAACAATGTGCTCACTACTGACTAGCTTTTTGAGTAAGATCTCGGAGTTCTTGTAAGAAGTTATGACCGTATCGGGTGTAGGCAGTCAAGTAACGCAGACAATGAATGGATAAGGTCATGCAAGACCGTAGATTGATTGCAGTTAGACATTAGCACCGTTGTATATCGGCTCAACAGTCTAGAGTGTAAGCGTTTGTGTATGAAACCGAAGTTCACTTCCAGCGTGCATGGGTCGTGGATTCGCTCCGCCACTGATTAGTTTCATACTAGGACAAAACGGCCGTCATTCAATCCTTCCAGATTTCTAATAGTGATGGTCTAGCAATCGTATGAGAATTTCTCCGCTCCATCGTTTTCGTCGTTATATTAATTGATTCTTATCTAATCATGTTTGATTCGTTCCTAAAAGTCTAAGAGCACAATATAGTTTATTATTATTATTATTTTTATGGTTAAAAGGGATGAAGCCGAGCGTTGGTTGAAATCGTTCTAATCACACAAACATTGTTATTTGTTAGTTAGTCAGTTATAAACAAAATAAACTTTGATTCGCTTTATTTTTAAGGTCAATTGTGTCTACAGTTAGTTGTATATATATATATATATATATATATATATATATATATATATAAACATTCACGTAATCTGAATGACAACATTTGATACAAAGGTATTAGAAATATATGAGCATTGTATCCTTATTATTGTGTTGTTGTGTTGTTTCATTAATATAATTCAATGTTTCAATTAATCGAATTGATATACATTTGTCTAGCAGTACTGAGTTATCTGTCTTAATAGTTTTTAATCATTAACCTTGTACACGGTCTCTACTCGTACACAACTGGTTATGGCGAACTATCATCCAAATCGCTTACTTCAAGTGATGTTTGTCAGGGCTGTTCATCATCTGCATTCTTGTTCAACTTTGTCGTTTACATGCTTTTAGAGATGACACTTTCTCATTGTCTAACTTTTAATGAGTTGAGTTTCTATCAAGAGATCGATTTTTCAACTTAGCATATGCCAATGCAATAGTTCGTTTTAAGTGAAGGCGCTGACAAAATTCAGAGTCTTCTGACCACCGTAAACAACAAGGCAAGCATGTTTGGGATGGGTAAATAAATAAATTAGTGTTTTATCTGATAAATTGATACCTGTTTATCTAGTTGTTTTGAATTATCTAACGAATATTTCTAATCATTCTCCTTGTTATGTATTGCCCTTTTCGTACTTGTTGTTAGGAAACAAGTACTAGGTAAGGATGGCAGATCAATAGATGAGGTATTGGGTGTTCATCAGTTGTGGTGGCTGGAACATGTGTTATGTATGCCCAATCACCGACTGCCTCAACGAGTGATGTTTTGTGATGTAAGGTTAGGCTGTAAGAAAGTCAAGGGCGGTCAGACCGAAACATGGCACAAATCCATGAAGTCACTGACAACTGGACTAAGCCATGTTATTAGGTGATGACTACCTGGTTAGGGTCCACGAGGTGGTAGTAACTGGTGGTTAATTACCCTGAATGACATTGTTCGAAACCGCTTGCAATGGCGCAAGTGCATCCGTTCTTTGTGTTCTCTCAAATCCTAATCTTCTGGATTTCTCATCACCTCTACCATTGTCTTTCTAAATTTATTACACTAAACTTCTTGAGTCGTACCTTTGAAACCTAATCTTCTCCAATAACGATAATACTTCTACCACCTCCGCTATTATGAGATTTGAAGTGAAAATTGTGTCTGTGTCATGGGAACCTGAACTGATGTACGTACGTACGAAGTTCTACGTTCTAACCGACCGACTGACTGACTGATTTAATGTGTGTGTGTGTGTGTTTATTAAGCCTTTCTTCTGCATTATCCTTTTCATGTACTTCTCATGCACCCTAACCAGCACTACCTTATAACTGAATAAGCGGTATAAACTATAACTGGTTTATGAGTGAGTTGGTTAAAATCTATCGTTCGCCAAATCAAAATATTAGCATTTCTTCAATAAAATCATTGATCTCATGTGTGAACGCAATCTTGGTTTCTAGAGACTGACTAGTTAGGAGAGGTTCTGGTTGATATGGCTTGTAGCGGTATATAATTTTTATATTCCCCTTAAATTTTGAATGGTAATGTTCATTGACAAATAAATACCTTCTTTTTGAAATCTATTATCGACTTTTAATCTGCTTTAAATGAGCTTACTTATGCAATGGGTTGTGTTTATTATCACTGATAAGTTTGGTTTGCAAAGTGACCGAATTTTATTGATACTGATGGTTGTCTTGCAACATCCCTAAGGTTCATTGTAATAGCGACGCTGTAATGCAGAGTTTGTGACAGTTATGTAAGCAGGATAGGTCACATTGACCTGTTCATGCTGTTCATATTGATTGATTGACGACGCGATCACGGAACGGAAATAATCACTACATATATATATGTACTAGTATATGTAAATGGTGTGAATGGCCTACCAAGGTGTCCGGTACCTGTGTAGTTGCGCAACAGGATTAAGCTGTACTGTTTACGTTGTAGTGTTATAACACTCAGATAATGTCTAGTTCTCCTGAAAACTGATGAAAAATTACCCATGCATATGTAGAGTAAATTTATGTTATTATACAATACAGTTGATCATAATTACTGGTTTCATTAATAATGATTATGTGATTGTATAGTTTCCGTGTGTAAACAATTTTCATTTGAAAAAATGAGGTGTTTTTTTTAAAGAGAAAAAATCACATTTACTCTATAAATTTCCATTTGTATACTGTCATGAAATTTGCTCTTTAACATGTTCTGCAAAAAAATATCTATTTTAATCATCAAATGTTGAATAGAATGTTTTATTCATCTATCCATCAGTTGTTACAATGGATATAGTTCTCTTTTTCTGCTTCGCATTACGCATATATATACACACACACACACACCGGTTTCTTGTCTCCTTAGTGTTGTTGGTGTTGTTGTTACCGCTGAATATGAAATAATAATTTTTCTTGTCAATTGTAGTCGGCAAAATCAATTTCATATTCTTTTATCAATGATTGTAAAACTTACAATATGTGTGAGTATGTGTATGTACATGTTTGTGCAATCAACTGATTAAACTATTTTATTGATAATTATATATGTATTTTAAAAGTTCCTACTTATCCATTCAATGTATGCTGAATAATAATCAAGGCATTAATCAATAATGCTTGCATTATTCATGTGTAATGAGGAGATTGTTGTGTTACATTGCACTCATGCATAAATCATTGTTAGACCAGCAGTAGTAGTATTCGAAGACATCTATAATGGAATGCTAGAAGACATTCGTAGGTTATTAGTATTCGATTATAGATGTCTTCGAAGCATTGTTCGTATATTCTAGGACAGCAGCCTAATAAGCAATGCTGTCGTTAGGACACGAATACTAGGTTAGGATGGCAGATCAATTGATGAAGTATTGAAACTTCAATTGAGGTGATTGGGACACGTGTCACCGACTGCCTACATGAAGTCACTGACAAGTGGTAGGTGCAGGCTAACTGGTCGGGGTACGCGAAACGAAAGTCACCTATGGTTAGAGATTTTGAACGACGTGGGTCAAAATCGTTTGCAATGGTGCAGGTGCATCCACTCTTTGTGTTCTCTCAAATTCTAATCTTCTGAATTCCTCATCATCTCTATCTTTATCTTTCTTAATTTATTACACTGGCAGTTATGTATGTGTTAATGTGGTCATGGTAACCTGAACTGATGTATGTACGTACGTACATACGATGTTCTACGTTGTAACTGACTGATTGAGACCAGCAGTAGAAACCTTTGAAGTTTTGGACGGTTATTTCTAATTGTAGCCTAACAATCATTCATTCCTGATTTCAATGTGTAAAAACAATGATCTCCATAAAATTGTAACGCGAAAATCGTACAATTTGCTCACTAGTGACTAGTTTCGTGAAGAAATTCTCGGAGTTCTAGTGAGATGTTACCAGTGGGCATTAACTACCAAACACAATGGGTGAGGTTGTACAATATCCTTAGATTATTCACTGTTTCATCCTGACTGAAACTTGTCAGCTGAATGTGCTTGTACCTCTGTGTAGCTGCTGTTCACGCTAAGACCTATGCACGAATATATTATCCTTTTGAGGAGCTACAGGGGTACTAATTAGTCATCATTTTAGTGGCGTGCTATCTGACTCCGATATATTTATAAACGATTAAATATACTGTGAAATAAATCTATCCTTCAATTTCCGTATATACTATACTTAAACAAACCCCGTTTATACAACGACGGTAATAAGTAGCTAAATACAAAAGAATCTAGACATGCGATAAGCGATGTACATACTCAGACAATAATAACCGAAGTTATAAGCGAATGAGTTGACAAGTTCAAAAGACTAGGTAAAATAATGCATTCGCGAAGAAAAAGGTTAATTAGTTTGTCCGAAAACTAGGACAAGCCGTATGGGACTCAACATATTATTAGTGTACACACATCCTACAACATATTCGAAATTTTTGACTCTTACGGTGTTGTTGTTGTTAAAACAATATGAGATTATTTGGTATTCCATAGTTTTCCATCGGTTCTCTCTACTTGATATCGTTTATTGGTGTTGTTGTTGAAATCTGCTCACTAATAATGTTCACCATAAGTGTTGTCATTAGGTTTGTAAAAATCATATCACAGCATGATATGGTTTGCTTGTTACTTTAATATATATATGTATATATATATATATATATATAACCTTATAATTTCAAATAATCAATGGTTTTATTTTCGCTTACATTTATTGTTGATGACGTTTTGCTGACTGTCTAATTCTTTATTATTATTATTAATAATCGAGGTGGTTGGGACTTGTGTTACGTATGCTCAACCACCGACTACCTCGATGAGCTATATTTTTGATGTAGGAGTAGGTTGGAAGAAAGCTAGGAGCGGCCAAAGAAAACATGGCACAAATCCATAAAGTCACTAATAAGTGGACTGAGTCCTGTTGGTAGATGTAGGCTACGTGGTTGGTGTCCGCGAGACGAAAGTCACTGATGGTTAAGAACCTTGAACGACATGGCTCAAAATGGTTTGCAATGGCGCAGATTTAGGTGTTCTCTCAAATCGTAACCTTCTGAATTCCACATAACCTTTATCTTTTTCTTTCTAGGTTTATTTCACTCGATTCTACTTCTTGAATAGTATCTTCGAACCTTAATCTCTCCGATTACTGCTAATACTTCTACTTACCTCTACTACTATTTCTATTCTAATGTGGTATACCAACTTAAAGTGATTGACGTACGTACGAAGTTCTTTGTTGTAACTAACTAACTAACTAACTGATTATTGTTTAATCTGTTGTCGTTTTATTATTATTTTTTCGCTTTTGTCTAGTTGGTGATCCTCCAAACATGACTGATTTAGATAGTTCTGGTCCGGTATTCGGTGCTCCATTAGAATTACAATTAGAAAGTCCTGATTATCCAGTAAGTCTGCTTCATTATCATTAACTTGATGTTTGGCATTGAAAATTACTCCACTGGTCACACAAACTAAAGTAGACATTTTTATATGGTATAGATACTGTTGCAGCTTTTCGTTGAAATATCGGATCCATCAGTTGGTCGGTCAGTGACTAAAATTTGCGTCATTGGTTTAAAATTCGGATTTCTCAACTCTTTTAAACGGATCTTTTTTATCCTCCATTCTGGTTTAGGCACCAAGAATTCACTGTTCTTCCTATCATCACTTTCTCAAGTACACTATTTCTACATCAAGACAGTACGTAGAACTTTTGTAGTTGTGTCTATAAACGTTATGGACTTCCGGAAAGGCGTATATTCTCAACTAAATCTATTCATTTGTTTAATGCATATAATGAGTTAGTTTTCTACAGGATGGTGTCGTTAAACCCCCATACCCTCGTTTATTCGAGCTTGGGACCAGCAGTAGCCCTAGAGGGGTTGCAGGTGGAGTTGCATACAATATCATTTGTAAACTTGTTTATCAATTTCTATTATCTTAAAGTAAATGAATGAACTAGCGCAGGATTAAGATTTTATGATTTACACATGTGTCATTATAATCTGGTCCTCATAAAAGAAGGATTATGTTCAACAACTAGTGAAGTTTACAAAGGGTTTGAATGATGTTCAATTATAGTATTGTCACTTTTAACTGATATACTCACCTTCCCCTCCCCTTTAAGTCTGCGTGAAACCGTTTCAGGGTCACTGTCACTCCCAAGCCCGGATAAAGTAGGAGGGTTGAGCATATAGGTTTAGCGACCCCATGCTATAGAAATCCAATTCTCTAAAATAATACTAACCAGAAAATACTTCTCTGGTCGGTGGTGAAATATGTATGTAAGAACTTCTTCTCCACTCCCACAACCGCTGTCTTACAATTCAGTGTACAAGGTTAATAGTCAACATAACTTATAATAAATATGTATATATCAGTTGAGATGCAGATTTCAATAATATGATGAGACTAAAGCTAATTCAAATCTATATTTCAACTATTATTAATCAATTAATTCATTGTGTTATTTACTGTTGCACTTTATGTATTTTTGTTTCTGCCTATTTTTCTCTCTCTCCTTTTAGTGTGTTCCAGTTTTATTACAAGCTATTGTTATCGCTTTAGAATTGCATGGACTTCATTTATCTGGTCTTTATAGAAAACCTGGTCGACATCGTACAATTGCACAGTTTGTCTCTACACTACATCAAGTAAGTAGCTGTTGTATTGATTATTATGATTATTGTGAGTATAGGCGTTGTGCACAGATTGTTGTGTGTTTTATTTTAAATCACGAACTAACTGATCAAAATGTAAGGACATGATAACATGGGTATATATTCAGTTATTTCCTAACTATTACCTGATCATGATTACGGACATTGTTGGAAACTTGGTAACACTGAACATCTGTTTCTTTCTTGTTTGAGACTTTTCAGAGAAACTAACAAAATGATGATAAGAGCTTTGAAATAACCTGATAAGATTGATAGTGAAGAGAATCTGCTCTACTTAAAATGTTCTCATATGACGAATGTCCTAATCACTAGTTTCTCGTAGCAACCGGTATTCCTTATTGCAGTTCACGGAACGAAAGGAGCATGTCCGACCAAGGTAAGGTATAAACTAGCATGGTGGATCTGAACAATTCATCCACTTAGGCCATTTGGAAAACCTTAATTCCATACCATTAGTGCACACTGATTCCAGTATGCTGTTGGTCACCGGCTACCATGAAGTTGCATCTCCTGATGTATTGCTAAACTACCTTGTATGTTAGAAGTCTTGATCAAATACTTTGGGAGTGGCCCCCCAATAAAAAATAAACAATCTGCTTCGATTTGGACGTCCGCGCAATATCTCAGTCCATTCACAAACTAATTCAATTGTGTGGAGCACAAATATTTAGATGCCTCTTTGTGTCAATAACGATCTGTTTGACTAAAATAATAAATACTATCTCATTTGCTATTGGCTAATGGTTTCTTACTCTTTCATTTTGATACGGATGATGTAAACATGTAAATAAGGTTAATTTTATGACTAAATTAACCCTCAATTAGTGCACCCCTTTCATATACTCATTACATATAAGATCTGGTATAACTAAGCTCAAAAAGTAATATGCGGATGCATTTGTATATCGTCTAAAATACTACTACTCCAAATGACCAAGTGAAAATAAATGCTTTCAGGTGGCCATTCAACGAGTCTTTAACTCAAAGGGTTTAATCAACGTCCTGAAATCCAGTCTTTTCATGGTTAATGAAGTCTCAAAGAGTTTTTGTACGCCATTTTTTCCTTTGCGTTCTTGAGTCCTATTTTTTCCTCTGGTTTAAAATGAATGTTTTCTAACTTCCATGTAGATCGTCTACTTCCACTAACTTAGTAATAGCAGGGGAGTTTGCTTTATATCAGAGTCTATAAGCTCGTAGGTCTAGTAGTAGAGTATTTCGAAGCGAAGCAAGGGCAGTTTCACCACACTTTGGTCCGTACTAGAAAATCTGTACACTAACTTGATACTAGTTGTGAAGCTTTCTCTTTTAAAATGTTTTCTCTTCCCTAGAACCACTTATGTTGTAGTTTAGATTTTTTTAAACATAAGCGGGACTAATAGCTGCTACCTTGACGTGGTGGTTGGTCAGACTTTCCTGTCGTGATGACCAAACCGAGCTACATTGGTTGGGAAATATGTTCCTGTAGGCTGTAACCCTGCCAGGAAGGGCAAGTGGTGTACGGTAAGAGTAAAAGAAGCAACTTAAGTTTTAAGGCGAAGGTGTACTGATGACTTTAGAGGGGTGTGACAGCAGTAAGGTGTTTAACTCGAACAACCAGCATCTTCAGCTATGCTGCCTTCTAACAAAGAGGGAAAGGATTAGAAAAGGTCGACCCTAAAAATGTCACACCTCACCTTACTTCAAGGATTGCCGTCTCCGGCGGTAAGGGCTTTTGAACAAGAGCCGGTGGTAATACTTTAAAATCTTCTCATACAAAAACCGCCCGATATCGTCCTGAAGCAGCTGTCCCTTGATCTCCGCAGTCACACTCCTAGATCTCTAAGACCAACACTAATCCAACTTCTTTTTCCGGGTCCTCAAGAAACACCCTTCCACGTTATGGGCAGCCGAGAAGTGACATCTTACCTCATACCCGTAACAGCACACGAGACCAAATTGGTCTAAATCAAATCCTGTCTGTCTTACCTCCACGACTAATGAACATAAGCTAAAAGTGTAGTGACTTTAATTATCAAATCATGTTTTTTTTATATCTTTTCTAATTGACATTTTCCATTTGAATAGTCTGGTTGCATTGATAGTAGGTGGTATTTTTAATTTGTATTCGAGTCAATTATTAATTACCCTTCAGTTTGTTGTTTTCGCAAGAAAAAGCACATATCCCGTTTTAATCTTTAATGTCTTGTGTAACACATAAATAATCTTCGTACAATTTTTTTGTTATCCATAAAATTTTAAATGAAAAATACACACCATCTTGTTTTCTCCTTCCGGTAATTTATAAAGCATCCTGATGATATCGATTTGATGTTTAGTTTGGATGCATGGCGTGAACCGAATGCTCTGTGCGGTTTATTTAAACATTATCTTCGACGATTACCTGTTGGATTATTTTCTTTATGTGAGTTGTGATTTGTGTTCACGTTATTTTTGTAGAAATAAAATGATATTTTCTGTGTAAATCTTTTAGAAATGTCTTATTTAGAAATATATATATGTATACCGCGTGTGCTTTTATGTATATGAGGGCAGATGTAACTTCCCGACTGCCCACACCGTAGAAGGGTTCTGGTTGTCAGAAGGGGCATCTGCCTTATGACTTCAGAAAGAACTCGGCTTTCATCATAAGACGTCATAATTCTTCTAAATGAAGACCATCTAACTTCTAGAGTAGAGTTTTATATGGTTTGAATTATTTTTTCTTGTTAGCGTTTTTTTATCATGTAAGTTTTTTCTGGGATGGGGTCGCCAACCCATATCTCAATTCTCCTCCTTTACCTGTGCATGGGACCGGCAGTAGCCTCGAAGAAGTCTGTAGGCGGAGTTATATGTATACCTATGTAATTCGTTCCTACTAGACTCCTAAATGATCAAGGTTTGGTAGAGCTGCTTGTTTATACTCAGTTCGAAAGAAGTTCTTACTGCGTCCTGGTATCGAATGGTATTTTTACTTTGATGCAAAGGCAACAAGCGAACATGTATCGCTTTTTTCCAGAGTTGTGGATACGTAATATGTCCATAGAGGAGTTGTAAAACCTTATTCCGAATCAATAGTTTACCTGGACTGCAGGATCTCAAGGGGTCAAATTGTGTATGATGCTGTTGCTAACTTTTGGTCTCCCTAGATCTTGTCTACCTCTTTAAATGTTGGTATACTCTCTTGTAGACCTTAAACATTAAGTTAAAAGGTGAAGAATTAGTCGGAAATATATGCTCCGGTTTTTTTTCGCCGAAAAATATCCCACCTCGTATACGGGTATTATGATTATTTAATGCGGGTCAGTTATATCAGATTTTCTATGATATAAATAAATAAGAATCTTACTTAATGTTTGTCGAACAAATGAAATTTTCGAAAGAAAAGAAACCCCTCACAACGAAACTGATCACACTTTGGAATGTGGAGTTGTGACAAAAGGATGAATGAACGAATTGTTGAATGAATCGATCAATATTAGACCACTATTAGAAACCTGGAAGCACTGGATAGCCGTTTCGTCCCTAGTATAGGACTCATCAGCAGTGTGCATCTATGACCTCCGCTCGCGGGGATCGAACCCAGGATCTTCGATCTCATGCACAGACTTTCAACCTCTAGATCACTGAACTGTCGTTTGACGGTGCTGTTGTCCAACTCTAATCAATCCATGGTGTTGCGCGATCTTATCCATTGTCTTCAATGGGCTCTGCTTCACACATACAGGGTTGAACTCCACTGGTTACGACTCCCCACTAAAACTTGGAAAAATTTCTTCATAGAAATTTTCACTAATGGTTGAGTGTTCCAACACAAGATCGAAAGTCCTGGATTCGATTCCTGCGAGCGTTGCTGATAAGTTCCATACTAGGACGAATCAGCCATCCAGTGCTTTCAGGCTTCTAATGCTGTTCGAGCATTGATGATGATGATGAACAGACAGAATTGTTTTTGAATACTTGACATCTTCAGTTGCTATGAGTAGTAGGTAGTGATTTGTGCTTTCCTGTCAGTAGCTATGCCTTCATGTTATCATATGAGATTATTTTGAGGAGAGTGGAATTTCTCTCCACTCTCGATCTAATGAGGTTATTTCAGCGCTCATATCATAATTTTACTACCACAATATCTAACCAAATAACCTCCTATTCCAGACTTATCTTAATTTTTTAACGAATGAGCAAGTAGAACATCTACATCTACATCTCTACTCCCGCCAACATTCTTATCCATTATAAACTAGAATAAACATTGAGCTGACTGCCTCTTCTAATTATTCTCATATAGAATTTCACAACATGGTACATCCACGACGATTCTCGAAGTTTGAATCATTGAGATCTTTGGTTATGATTTGATGATAATGTTAAGCTTAGAAATGTCTTATTTTTTGTTGTTGTAATCTTGTCATCGATAAACTGTTGTGAAATTTTTTACGGAATGATAATATTTCCTGCTAATCTATTTCTATTTCGTCTTAAAAATAAAAAGAGAACCTATAGATATATATATATATATATATATATATATATATATATATTTCAGAGAGAGAGATAGAGTACTTCCTTTAGAAGGAAACTGTCAAATCCTTATTTGATCTCTTATCCATCCAGTGTGTGTGTGTGTGATGATTATGGAGACGAAATACAGTAGTTTGTAGCACTTAATATATCTAATATATTATCTCTAGAAAAGTCCTTTTTTTCTAAAAAAAAAAAAGCTAAATGCCATACTGTTTTGTTTGAAAGTTCTAAATCAATGATTTTTTTTATTGACAACATGGAAAATAGTAGTAGTAGTAAGTTGTGTATTATATTAGTTGTGTGTTTGTTTTCTGTTTCCTGATTTCATTAAATCAACACTAAAATTCTACACACTGGCAGCAGTAGTGGTATTAATTTTTTTTAAAAAAAAACCAAAACAGAAGAAATTTTGAGTATAAAACTAATTAGGCGAATTCACTAAGCGAACATGGAATGAATTTGTCCTGCCATAGAGAGATTGATATGAAGTCTTGCAATTTGAACATTTTCAACTATGAATCATGATAATAATCATGAATATCTCTGTCAGTTTTAATCTGTATGACATGTAATAATACAAAAAAGGGGATAATTTTATGAAATGATGATTCCCTGTTTGAATTTGTTCATTTCAAATTTTTTTTGTCTCGCATGACATGCGTGTACAATGCTTTCTATGAGACACACCCCGATGTTCGAATACTGATGGCCTGCGATGAATGTTCTCCACTTTTTTTTCCCAATAAACCACAGTTGATTGGGACAAAGTAAAACAAAGCACTGACTAGTTTGGAGTTGTTTGTTGTCACAGTTATGAGGGCGGATGTCTCCTTCCCGGCTGCCCACACCGTTGAAAAGTGTTTGTTAACAAACCTGAAAACGATATCGGATTAGCGTTGGTCTTAGTGACCTGGGAGTGTGACTGCAGAGTCCAAGGGACAACTGCTTGAGGCCGGTATCGCATGGCCTTTTTCTGAGAAGTTTTTAACGTGTTAGCTCCGCTCTTTTTAGAAAGCCTCACCGCCGGAGACGGCAATCCGTGAGGTAAGGTGAGATTTGACATTTTCAGGGTAGACCTTTTCTAACCCTTCCTTCTTTGTTAGAAGACAACATCGCTGCAGGTGTTGGTTGTCCGAGGGAAACAGCTTACTGCTGTCACACATTTCTGCAGTCAGGAGTACGATTTCGCCCTCAGACCGTGAGTTGCTGCTTTTAGTCTCATCGTTCTTTAGTCGACCTGCCCGTTATGGTAAGACCTAAAAGAACAGGTGTCTTAGCCAACATAGCTCGGTTGGGTCATCATGATAGACAAGCCTGATCGACCACTACGTCAAGGTAGCAGCTACGGTCGGGAAACAAAGCACCGAATATATATATATATATATATATATATATATATATATATATTCGTCTTTCAGTTGACAAACAAACTCAAAACGTGTTTGATTGATATTTTACTGTGATGTTTTTTTCTACATTTTTATTACCAATTTCTCTATAATTGGATTATAACTAACAAAGTAACTAACTAACTCACGTGTTTTGTAAGTTTTATGATTTCGATTCTGATTGAATCCGATTTTCTAATTTCAATAAGTTTTGTTAGTTATATCACATCACATTACCTTAAGATAATAACAATGCGGGTTACTGTTTAAAGAAAAATAAAGCAATCTTATTAGGTAGTACTGGTACAATAATAATAATAATAATAATAACAATTATAATTACATATACACATGTGTACATGTTTGATGAATCGTTATCTATTAATCTTTTTCAACCTAGTTAAATAACATGATTTGAAGTGAGAGAAAAAGCCATCTTTGTAGATTGATATTTATTGTGATCAACACACGTATAATCTGTGGTGTCTTTTTCTTGTTGTTCATCAAGCTAATTAGTAAAAACAGATATAAAGTTTTTAGTCACAATGAAATTCAAATAGCTGATGACTTCGACCATTGTTTCATCCATTCAGTCAGTCAGTTACAACGTAGGACTTTGTACGTACGTATATCAATACAGGTTGCCATACCACATTGGCACATAGAGATCGAATTGTCGATTCAAATCAGATAGTAGTAGAGGTAGTTGAAGTATTACTGGTAGTGGAGAAGATTAGGGTTCGAAGAAATTTGAGAAGAGAAAAGTAGAAGGAACGAGGAATTGAGGAGATTTACATTCGAGAGAGCACAAAGAATGGATGCACCTGCTCCATTGCAAACGGTTTTGAGCCATGTCATTCAAGGTCTCTAACCACCGTTTACTATCGTCTCGCGGACCGTAACCAAGTAGTCTACCTCTACCAACATGACTTAGTTCACTTGTCAATGACTTCATGGATTTGTGCCATGTTTTGGTTTGGTCACGCCTAACGTTCTTCCAACATACTCGTACACTGCGAAATATCGCTCTCGAAAACCATTGAGTAATTATTCATATTCTAGTCAAACTTTGACTACACCGATGTATAGTTTTTTTTTGTGATCAAAGTGAAATAGTAGCTATAGTGACAGCGTTTGTCTTCGTTGACACGGAAATTGTCATGTTAGTAGGTGTAATCTACCTAAGAAATGGACATAAACACTGGCACTATACCTACTAATTCACTTTGATCACATAAAAAAACTAAATACTGATGTACACAAAGTTTGACTAGAATAGGAATAATCACTCAACAATTTTCGAGAGCGATATTTTGCAGTGTACGAGTACGTTGGAAGAACGCTAGGCGTGACCAAACCAAAA